CAAACAGAGCGCAACGAGATACTATGGCTGCCCTCAGCGGCGCCATTACCAAACAAGTACTATAATTTAGTTGTATAGTGATATTGGCTATAATGTAGGTAGTGTTTCTTTTTCCCCCTTAAATTTAAATAGATAGATAGATAGATTGATGCCACATGTTGCACTTTGGCTTGATGTTCACTGTTAACAGCGATCGTCTTTGTTATCCTTCTAATTAGAATTAGATTTTTTGAGGATCCAACATTGTATCACAGGACAGTTTTTATTTCTGTCTCTGGGTCATTTACAATTACTCATATAGTTGATGCTTTCATCCAAAGTGACTTACAGTTACTAAATATATATATATATGAGAGGTCATAAGTATCTTGCTCAGGGACATATCGTAAATGTCCCAATGGGAATCAAACCCAGGTCTCTCGCACCAAAGGCATGTGTCTTATCCACTGTACCATCACCACCCTTCTTTCTGTCTCCACTCGCTGTCAGACTTCTTCTGACTCTGTGAGTCACTTTCAGCAGATGGTTGGGGATCTGTTGGTTGAAGAACCCAGATGCGGACAATCCCCAGAATGAGTCTCTGAATGCCAGCGTCATTCAGCCTGCTCAAAAAATGTCAATCCCTGTGAATAATCATAAGACTTTCAACTGACAATTTTATTCTTCACCCACAAAAATTGTGGTTGTAATTAACACTTGTATCTCATTTTGTACAAAAAAGTTTGAACCTTAACAGAGAAAATAATCGCTAATGAAGTAAGAGACTAAATTAAAAAGAGTTTTGTAGGAGAATAAAACACAGAAAGGGATAAAAACAAATGTTGGTCTGTGGAAACTAAACATAACAGCAGACGTAAGTCACTGCATTATTTCACCTTCTTCAGGACGTAATGCAACCTTCATCAGAGTCCATCTGCAGATGATCCAGATAATTTGTCTTCTTCGTCATTACCCAACATCATCATAAAAACGCAACTGTCTGTTTGCTTGACGCAACTGTCTGTTTGCTTGACGCAACCGTCTGTTTGCTTGCACTACTCCCCGGGTGGTAAAGGTAAAGGGCAGAAACACCATCCCGCCTTGAGTAAATCCTTGAAGGTGCTGCTGGGGTGCTGACGTCTCCTCTCAAGGCCTTGTGGAGTTTGACGTTACTTCTGCAAAAACATCAAATTCTTTCGCTGAAGTGTTGTTATCATATCAGAGGGGAACCTTTTCCTTCAGCTGCAGTGCTATAAATATAAGTCATAGTGAAGTAAAACTAAAGCAACCCTGCTGGACAATGTCTCAAGTTAACTTATCACAAAACTCCTTAAGTAAAATTTATTGTTTCTTATGTTAAGAAGCTAGTGCAACACTATAACTCAATATTACACAATTGATGAATTATGAGTACTATCATCATGGACTTTTTTTTCACTTCGGGCCTCAAACTGTAAATCAAACCATCTGAGATGTTCGGAGGTAAAATGGAATTGCTAAAAACTCAAATTTGGTACTTTGTAAGGGCTCACAAGCTAAATTGTTTGGAACCAGTGGTTTAATCTTAAACAGTGTATTGTATTTCATGATCTTGAATTGTACTTATGAACAATTTTAGAGTAAATCTACTTAATTACTTGGATGAAGCCCAAGAAATAACATGAACACAAGGAGTCAGAGATTTAAACATATTGTGCATACACATGCTATGCAATATAATAGACTGGGGGAAATACAGCCATGTGAAAACTGTGCTTTTGAAATACCAGGAAATAAACAGACAGTCGTTTACGGAGTACGAAATGTTCCAGTGGACTAGAGCAGCGTCAATGATCTCGTCACAGGAGAAACAGTTCCTTATTTTTCTGGAGGTCTTGCTCAGAGCAAAATCTTTCATATGAGATTGGACACTCAGTCAGCCTGCCCACGTTAGCTGGTGGGAGGCCTCCTACGCTGCTGCTTCTCAGCGTCACGGCTGGCAAACACTGAGGCCGGCAATAGCAATGTGCTGATGCCAGACTGCATCCTCATCATCCATTTTGTTGACTGGGTAAAGAAATGCTCTAAATAGGTGTGGGATGTAGTGAGGCAACAGTAATACACCAAGATACAAAGTTTGATTTTATTTTGTGATAAAAAACATTCACTTCATTAAGATTGTTCCTTAAGCATCAGGCCACACACATAAACATCATTATTATTGTTTCAGACGTTTCACCGGCAGCGTTCAGCAAATGTGTTTACTGGCGGCCCCAAATGGCAACAAGGAAGAACTGATGCTACCTTGAAAACTTCAGCTGCCAGAAGTCATAATTGATTTTTTTCCCCATACTGTTTAGTAATATTAAGAAAGTAAGTAACATACATTTTTATAGCATCTTTCAAGAGCATACATCACAAAATGCATCGCAATTATGAAAGTTGAGGTGCATTAAAATAGAAAAACAAAAACATAGACAAACAGGTGACATAAAAAACTAACTGAACAAATGCCTGTACTTGTTAGCCTGGAGTGGATTTTTGAAGATCCACATTGTCAACAGATCCGACTGGACTAAATTGTAACATCTGGGACTCATGAGGGCGATTAAAATTTGGAGTGAGGTACAACTAGCAAGTTTTGGTCTGGTGATCATGATCGACCAGGCAGAGTTTTGAAAGTTACGTGAAATTTAAAGCAACATTATGTAGTACTTTTGTCTTAAAATAACAGCTTCAAAATCATTATGATACCACCACACTGGTTGCCTTGCTAGGTTTTGACCTTAAGTAATTCTGACACTGTAGGGGCACCAAATGTTACATAATGCTTTGAATTTAGTTCAGAATTTGATGGGAAGCAGGTGAAGATATCTATATACTGCAGGTAAAATGTGTAAAATATAAATGACATAAACAACTGATCATCTCAAACTTGGTCTGAGAAACATCTGTTAGAAAAATCATCAGTTGGAATAAACAGGACCAAACCCCTTGATATCCTTCTAAAATAGGCAAGGTCTGTGCAGAAATAAGACCTGAATTGCTGCGTTTTGACTTAACTGCAGATGAAAGACCAGTGTTTTCTTTTAATGCTTTATTTTAGACTGAGCACATAGAGAGGAGAGAGAAGGTTCCAGAATTGAAAGGTTAATGTGCATCCTCTCCGCAACAGCAAACCTGTCCATTTACAGCTAATGAGTACCACTTAAGTGGCCTTGTACCTGCTGACGGGCTGTGAGCCACAATATTATATAAATAGAAAAGAATATGAGAGAGAGGCATGGTGACATACTGATTGTGTAGTGACTACCGCATCCTGACAAACAGCCACATTGACAAAAAGTCCATCTGTCCAACATCCGGTCATTTTGTTGAGGATTCTCCAGGACTGTAGCATGTGTGGATGAATGAGTCACAGCCCAGAGCTCCTGCCTTCCTCCAACTCACTGATGAGAACAGAAGCCCACACATAACAGAGACAGAAAAAAAACACATGGAATTGCAAAGACGCACACCAAAGAACTCAAATTGACGCAAGGCATGACCATGTCGTGACCTGTCATGCAGCTTGCTGTGGATGCTTACATTCCTCTCAGGATAAATCCTAATGTGCTTGCTCACCCCCTGACCTTTCCTCTAGCAACGTGTTCATTTCAAAATATTAACATTTAAACATAATCCGACAAACAGTCCGAGTTGTAATGAATTTAACTTACACTTATGCTCCAACAGTTGCGTGTAACTGTGTTTAAACTGACCACAAAGTGAATTTTAGCAGCAGTACAACTGCATAAAAAGTCATTGCAAATGAGTGAGTGGATGCAATCAGATGCAAGTTTAATTCACTGTTACCTGAGGCAAAGGTGTGTTGGCAGGTCAACGTGTCTTAACATGAGACTAAAAAAGTGGGTTCTCTCTTGTTTCAGTGGAGTCAAACAGCTTCAAGATAAGCAAAATTTTTGCTCAAGTTGGATGTGTAGGTTCTTAGTGAAACAAAAAAAACAACAACACATGTTTTTGGCTTAACTTGTGCTACTTAGAGTGAAACAATTTCTGTTCATGTCAACTCAACGTTGTAATCAGGCCGCTTTTAAAATTCACTTCATATTAAACTGTTCCTCCTTATATAGTTCCACACATATACACAAGTGAATTGTGAGGATTTTTTTTTTTACATGTAGCTGCTCATACAAGTCTTCAAGAGTACAACTATAAACTTGTTGTATATAGTTAATTTCAATACCACACCAGACTATTTGTTTATAGACTATTTGTCGAGTCATAAAATAGGGTTAGGTCACATGTGAATTTCTCCTAATGATAAAATTGTGAACTGTGAAAAGTTTTTTAAATCACCTGAACATGCAACTAAAGAACAAATCTGTTGCTACCAGCAGTTCTTGCTTGAGACCCAATGAAAAAAAGAATCAACAGTAGGCTACACCAGATAAGTAACTGGTTCCTTTGCATTCAGCAGTTCAAATATGCTCACTTTCATATTCTACACTGAGGATATCACTTAAAGAAAACTGTGTAAAAACTCTATATCAGATGAGTGTGACAGATTTCTCTTTTTGTATTGTAAGTGTGACAGATTTCTCTTTTTGTATTGGCGGCTGCATGCGCCACACCGCACACAAACACACCTTCTCCCCCTCACCCCCTCGTTCCTTCTGCATCTTTTCACGCCTCTCTCTCCTCCTTGTCCTCACTGTCTGCCTCTCTCTATCACCCACATAATAACAGTCACTCAGTTCGTCACACCGTTACTGCTGTCTGTGAGGTCTTTGTCTACACTCTCCAGAGATCAGAGAGTGAGATGTCTTCTTCTTTGGTGGCTTTTATTTGTCTGTTCACTAAAAAAGACCCATCCATCCATCCATCGTCAAACCGCTTATCCTGCTTACAGGGTCGCGGGGGGCTGCAGCCAATCCCAGCTGACATCAGGCGAAAGGCGGGGTACACCTTGGACAGGTCGCCAGTCCATTGCAGGGCCACACATAGACAAACAACCAATCACATTCACACCTAAGGTAAATTTAGGGTCACCAATTAACCTAGTCTGCATGTCTTTGGATGGTGGGAGGAAGCCGGAGCACCCGGAGAGAACCCACGCAGACACGGGGAGAACATGCAAACTCCACACAGAAAGGCCGGGGCAACCAAAGCACCATCGTGCCGCCCCTAACAAAGACCATTAATATTAAGTAATTTAGCTGACGCTTTTATCCAGAGCGACTTTCAATTGCTAAATATGTCAGAGGTTGCACGCCTCTGGAGCAACCAGGGGTTAAATGACTTCCTCAGGGACACATTGGCGGGTGTGTCGCAGCGGGGCATGTGTCTTATCCACTGCACAACCACCACGCCAATATGTGAGGTATACAAGGTAGTTTATTTGTATAATGAGTGCAGCCCATTGAAAGAGTTGAGAAACAGGGTTTGGGAGGGATGGATATGAGAACTCAGCTACATTATATGTTGAAATTTGTATCATAATATGCTGTAGATTAACTTATTGAGAGAAAAACAGTAATTCTATGTTAAATGAGACATTGACCTCCCCCATGGTATGATCCTATATTCATAACCCCTGCTGCGAAGATTCGACTGTGAGATTGACGGTCGAATCAGGCTCCGCCCATTGAAGCATCGAATCTTCGATTGTTTGGGGTCAGCCCTAATATATATTTATATACAAAACTCAATTTCAGCCATAGTGGAGTTCACTGCACAGAACATCCTTCCGCAATTGAAAATCTAAAAGGAAAAATACTGAACAAAATGACATTTAGTCATGGAAAGTCTGATTTAGGCTAGAATTTCTTAAGGCCAGTTTGTGCTTTTGTGTTGAGCAGTGTAGGCTACGTTTCATCGTGAGCATGTATACTTGTGTGTTGGTGTCTGAATTACACCGGCAAAACGACAAACAACTACAAACAATGGTGACTGAAACTGAGCGGATCATGTTGGGGTTGGAACTGATAGATCTTGAACAGCAGTTACTTTTAGTGAAATTACTAAAATGCAGAAACAAGAGAATGTACGACCATTGAACCGGTTGAGGCAGAAGAAAAACAAGCTGGTAATGCGTAGCAGAAAATGCACTGCTACCACCTGACCAATGACATTCCTTTTGCTCTGCCTCGTTGCGAAATGTAGTTACATTTTTGGGATAGGTGCGCGTCAGGCTACAGTGTAGATTTGATGCAGAAGTATAAATTGGCCTTTAACATTTGCATTGGGCCCTGAAATCTTATAGTTTCCACAAGTTATCATAACTTCGTTAACCATGTGGAGCTCCCATCACACTCTTTGCCCCACTCATACACACATAAAGTCAACGTAAACATTCACAAAACTGGGATTAAAGGGCTATAATAAAAATTGAGCTGATTTAGTTTTGAGATAGTAAAACTGGTGATGTTGCTTTCACCCACCCAAGAATTTTCCAATCAGAACGTAGTTTTAAAAACACGTATGAGATCCTTTGTTTCACTTGTGCCCTTGGATCTGCTCAGCGTAACCCAGTGTTTCAGCAGCAGCCTTTTCTGCTGTTGTACTCTGAGTCCAGTTCAGGAGAAACGTTGTCTTGGGGTCCGGGTTGACGTGGGTCAAGATTGGACTGAACTGTCAAAATCTCCTGCACCAACCTCCTGAAACACAAAAGATTTGATGACTTTAGTGAAATGCAAATTCTGCGAATCTTCAATAGCTTTTACATTCAGGAATCTGTTTATCCAGCCTCTTGAATTACAGGCTTTTGTCTGTGGTGGTAGGGGTGAGATACAACTTTCCCAAATGTCTACACTCTTAGAATACTTTACTGACAAGATGCACAGCCGCATGTGTCCATCATCAGTTGTCTTCTTGTTTCCACGCTGCCGACCCACTTATTTAAAATCACTCTAGATTTAACTAAAATGTCCCCATAAAGCCAAATCCTCATTTTCTGGTTATTTTGATAATATTTTGCCAAACTTCACCATCTTATTCGTCACTTTAGACTGTATAGTATATTTTACTGCTTGCCTGTAAGTGTGGCAGCAAAGGCTACCACCCCCACATCCTTTTTATCTCTCAGTGTACACCCGTCTGTGAGATTTGACAAATATGGGAAATGTCAGCTAAAAGTGCAACTCATTTCTCAATGGGACAATTCAAGAAGCCAATTCAAGAAACACCACATCAAACACATTAGCAAAGCGGTGTCTCATTTTTGTGCAGGGTGAACCTACACATGAGGATTTCAGTTAGCTATGACATCAATACAGTTTGTTGTTTACACCTCTTATTAAAGAAATTAGACAACAACTGCGGTCGGGCTTATATCTAAACTCACCACTCTAACTAACTAGGCTATAAACATAAGCACACATAATTTATCATAATCCATCCACTTGCCATATTTCTTTTTTGCATTTATTAATGTTTAAACTGTCCTTCCTGTTTCTGCGGCTAGGCACTAAATAATTTCACTACATATTGTACTGTGTAAAAAACTATAATAAAATCGTCACATACGATTTGATTTGGTTTAAAGGTAACCCAGGTAGCCAAAACTTCTAAACCCAGCAGCAGCCTAAATCTAGCCCATATGGCTGCTGGACCAAGTGCTGCTAAATGCTGATCTCAGGCCAAATAGGCACAAGTTCACACCTCCAAACCTCAACAAAATCTGGAAGCCACACAGTGCCGGAACACAATCAGCATGCAGCTGCAGTTGGTCCAACTCTGATGGCTACTCTTAGGAGTATCGTGATTTTAACACAATTTAAGATTTGGGGTTATGGCCTTTTGGTAGTGACCTTAAGAATATGTTATGGCCTCCCAACGCATCATCATCATGCAATCAAGCAGCTTTGTTGAGATTTCTCCTCAATGATGTTATGCATCAGAAATAAAACACAATGGAGCAAACAAAGGCTAAACTCTGTGTAAGGCATAAAAGTAAAAAATAATCTTACATTCCATTTAAATTTATTTTGATTTAGTTTGATACAGAAATTATTTATATGATAAGTCAATGCTAATAAAATATAGTCAATATAACCATAGAGTGACACGATATATGGGACTTCAAACTCACTAAGCCTATTTGCATCCATTTGGTGAACCGTGGTATTGAGCCACTGTAGGGCCATATGTACTCCAGTCTAGTACCTTAAAATGTTCTCTTTAGACATCCTGCATCATCTGGACACACACACTTTTTCTGTTTTTTAATCTCTTCTCCAGTTACCTCATAGCCTCTTCGATGTTCTTGTTCTCTTTGACTGACGTCTCCATCCACGCAACGAAGCCGTTGGCCTTACTGAACTTGTCGATGCTGTCTGCTGACACAACCCGCTGAGCTAGGTCGCACTGCAGAGAGACAGACGGACAGAGAGGCAGACAGACGCTTTGTTAGTGTTAAGTGAGGGGTTCAGGATCTTACATGTCTTGCTGAGGTTTAGGTTTGTACTAGTCGTGTTCCATTCAGAGTTGTCTATCTGTGATATGATTGATATGTAGTAGTCTGACCTCTATCCTAGTCTAATAAAATAACTGACAATTTTGAGCAGAAAATGTTTTCAAATGTTTTGATCAATGTGAAATTTCAGTCTGTGCCCCAAGTAGAAATAGGACTATAATCTCTGTTTAATGGAAAACCAAGTGTATGCATATTTACATTTACGTTTACTCTTGCTCTTTTGGCAGACGCTTTTATCCAAACTTACTTACATTTGAGGAACAACATGCGAGCATTAATAAAGTAAGATATTTACAATTGACAATATTTACTTGTAAGGGCAGCAATACATACTAGTAAGAGCTAGATACGTACAAATACATTATGTACACATATCATTGTTACTACTTTAGATAAAAGTTGAACTACACCCCCCACCCCCACCACACACACACACACACACACACACACACACACACACACACACACTTATAGCTGTATTTGGGCAAAAATATGCCGTGCATTAGTAACCACAGGCCAAAACCTGTATGAAGCAAAATAGTAAGAATTACCTTAGACTCCAAAAAAATGGTTAACTTTGGTCCATTAAGAATTGTAATATATTTTACTCCTTTTACTCTAAATTATATTTGATACTTTCCCTGCTTTTTTTTGATCACTTTGGTACTATTATCGCAAATATGTGGTTAAAGTTCACTACTCTTTGTATAGATTACGTTATCCAACATTTACATAATCTATCATTGCCATGATATCTATCCTATATGTAATCAAGTTGTGATCAGAGGAAGACATCCTCTACAATCACTTACACAAGAAACACACTTTTACTGTATTTTACTCTATTGTATTGTATTGTACATACTATTCTCATTGCAGTGGTTCTTTGTGGATCTGTTTGTTATGTAGAGCACTAAGCTACTTGCACTAAGGTTTTAGGTTTGAATCCCACGGAGGTTACATACAGTTTTGAATCTGAATATATGAGGCAAATGAAACAACATGTATATAAAGCAAATGTTTAGGTGATGATCAATTAGGAACAATGAGCATAGTGATAGTAAAAGGTATTTTAACAATAGAAAAGAAAATCGTAACAAATATTCTGCATGTACTTTGTATGAACATGATGTATTTCAATGTGAATCATGTCTTTCTACATGTTTTTGTTGTACTGAGTCAATGTCAGATGTACTTATAGTTGTGAGTGATGAGAGTGGTGAAATATTACCACAAAGGTGTGTGAATAGTACCATAGCAACGGAAAGAAACAGAATCCATTTGAATTTCAAAGGCGTTCATAGAAACACACAGTGAAAAAGAATTCTTCTGACTTTAAAACCAGTCCAATTTCACCTCTTGTTTTTAATGTTGAAATAATGTAAGCATTCAGTTGGTTATTTATTCATTTGATTCACTGAAAATGTCTCAAAATACTGGGAAGCTGAAAGCCTGACGTGCTCATCCATCAGGCAACAATACATTGCTCATTTATTAATACTGGGGGGTTTCACGATAAATTATTCATTAGTTACAGCAAATGCACTGAATCACCTTGTTGGCCAGCAGGATGCAGGGGACAGAGTCTCCGTTGTGCAGCATGGCCTTGTTGTCCAGGTCCTGTTTCCAATGGCGACAGCTAAGGAAGCTGGACGAGCTGGTGACGTCAAACATCACGACACAGCCTGATGCACCTTTATAATAGATCCTGGTCATGGATATGAAACGCTCCTGGCCTGGAGGGAGGACACAAAGTTCACCACATCATCCATCCATCCATCCATCCATCCATCCGTCCGTCCGTCCGTCCATCCATCGAAAAATATTTTGTACCTGCAATGTCCCACAGTTGCAGTCTGACCTTTTCTTTATCAGACCAGTGCAGCAGCTTCACAGAAAAATCAACTAGAAAGAAAATCACAATTAGAGAGAAACAGATGGAGAAGTGAAGTGAAATAACTAAGAAGTGAGAGAATTGAAACCTCAGAGAATAGAATCCTCAAAATAGGAAAGACATTGAGAATGAACATATCCTCCCAAATTACAGACTTTCATTCTAAGAGAAGAATTTTCTTCCACTCTTATCCAGTTTAACATTACAACAGTGTTCTGCTGTGGGTGGAAATAGTTCCCAACTCCTGTTTGAGTAGCATTTGCTAAAAGCTAGAGTCCAGCTGTTTAAGAACATTGCAGAACCTTTTTTAACAACAAGATTGAGAGCTTTACAGCTATGCTAGTAACTCAGTGTGGCTTTACTTGGTGCAAAGCCCTGCTGTGCCTTAATGCTAACATCATCATGCAATCATGCTCACACCATGCTAACATGCTGATGTTTGGGTCCCACAGACAGGATGAGGAAGTCGGAAAGTATTGAGATAAGGACTAACAGAGTGTTGCCTTGCCTGATAAGAAACTATTTAAAAAAAAAAAATGAAATATGACTATTCAATTTACTGTATAAACACACTTGTTTTTTATGTATTAATTGTATGTATTATTTACTTTGTAGATGCATATGCTTTGGGAACACAATCAACGCATCATGCCAATAAAGCTTCAATGAACAGAAAGAAAAGGAGAGCAAGCAGAAAACATACTTTATATCATATTTTATATCTCTTCAAAGATTTAATGTAGACTTTTGAATAAAAACTGAGATAGAGCTGCAATGATAAATCAATTAGTTATCAACTGTTAAATTAATTGCCAACTATTTTGATATTTGATTAATCGGTGTGAGTCATTTTTTAAAGAAAAAAAGGTAAATATTCTCTGATTCCAGCGTCTCTTAATGTGAATATTTTCTGATTTCTTTTCTCCTCTGTGACAGAAAACTAAATATCTGTGGGTTGTGGATAAAGCAAGACATTTGAGGACGTCATCTTGAGTTTGGGGAACAATGATCGGCATTTTTCATCATTTCATACACCAAACAACTAACGCAGTAACCGAGAAAACAATCGACACATTCATGCCTAGTCTGAGATTAAATTTGCCATTATCAGATGAAAATTGTTTTTTCAGGAACTATGAAAATCATAGCCATGTCTCACATGTTTGAAGTATTTTACAAGATTCTTTTGGAAGGGCTTTTATGAGGCCCCATAGTTTGAAGAGATTTATCAGCTTATACAGACAAATTGTAAGCCTTTCACTGATCTGAAATCATTAAAATTTGTTTTCAACAGTACTAAAATATTCACATGCACAAACACACAGTCCAAAACACAGACAGCTGATAACGTAAAGCAGCCATACCTCCCACTGTCATCTTGTACATCTTGTTGAACTGTCCGTTGACGTAGCGATGCACAAAGGAGGATTTCCCAACATTTCCATCACCAACAACCAGTATTTTCAGCAAGTGCTCCGTCATGGCTCTCCTCTGTCAGACAACAAAATGTGGAAAAGACTCAAAGTGCAAACATTATGTCAGGAAATGTGATTTATGAGGCAAAGCTGTATTGTTGTAACTGAACAAATACTTGAATAAAACCCACCTGGGTTTGACTTTACCTGAGCCTTTGTTTGCATTTGTTAACCCCAAACATTTGAACCACCTTTCAGTCTTTAACTCTTAACTTCCTTCCTTGTTTCTAAATTCCAAATGATTATCAAGATAACCCTATTCCTCTATAGCGTACCAATTCTTAAACTAAAACATGTTTACAGAACCATAACTCTAAAACAGTTCGGATTCCTGAGTTGTTTTCTCAGTGTAACTCAACACTCGGATTGACTAGTTTTGCTTCCTTGAAGGAAGTTGGCAAAAGCCAAAAACAGGTCAACGTCAAAAACCACGCCTACATGCAAGAGGGAACATCAAGCAGTTGATGAATTTGTGCAGATTAGCTCCTCTTTTGTGCCTCATTGTTTGACATATAAAATACTTTACATGATTCGCTTATGTCCCTAACTTTTCATCCATCACACACACTGTCCTTTGTGCTCATTTTAAGAGCTCTGCCTTAGACTTGTTGCCCATTTCACACAGGAGTTAGAATATTTTTTTATTTTTCATGTGTCAGTCAATATTTCAAACACTGCTGGTCTGATTTTGATGCTTTTTTTTTTTTTTTTAAAAACAGACGCACGTTGATACAACATTTGACTTTCCCATGAGAGGCACTAACAGTGGCACAGGACATAAATGGTGTGGAATCGTCCAGTATAGACGTAACTCCTAGTGGGCTGACCTGCAACTCCTCCTCTTCCCCTTCACATTCTTATGCACCACCTCTTCTTCTTTTCCTTCCGCTTTTTCCACCTGTCTTTCCTCCATACCACCTATTCATCCTCTTCTGCCTTCCTCCACTTCCTCTCCTCTTCTGTCCAATCCTGCCTCATCTTTCTCCTCCTACGTTTCTCTCTCTCACACACGCACACAGACATGTGGTGTTGTTTTACTGCTCTGCCAACTAGGCCACTGTAACTGACTACTTAACTGAACATGTTTCAGTCTCCCACTGATGAGTCATTTTTGTGACTCTCTCTCTCTCTCTGTGTTTTTCCGGTTTGTGTGTTTTCGTGTCTTGGTCCTTTTCCCAGTCTCAGTACCACTCAGGGTTTATAAATAAATCTTCTTGACAAACCCAACTCCATCATCTTTGTTTGGGCCTGAAATGATGCAGGTTAAGAACTTGTCCAGTAGGGGGAGCCATGGGCTATGAAAGTGGGGCCTTCGGTAGATCTGCGGCTGGGCTGGACCAAAGCTAAGTGTGTATTTAGATGCTTCCCACAACAAATCCAAAAATTATTCTGAGTTTCCTGATACAGAATTTACAAAACTAGTGTTTATTTTATTATTATTTTATTGTTATTTTTTGCACTTGATGCACAACTTATAAATAGTGCAGTGTTGTGATCAGTATCACTCACAAATTCATCTGAGCATTTAGAAACATGTTTGCCTTTTGTCACAACCAGGCTCAGGGACAAACACAGATGTGAGACCACACAAGCTGTAGATTTAAAAAAGACAAAATCACTACACTATTAAACGAGGACATCAACTTTTCTATATATTTTCCTTGTGAATGATTTACATACTATTAAATTTAGCTTTCAAATTTTGTTCAGGTTTAACATTATTATTTTTTAATAGGTAATCAAACATAGCTGTCATTGTTGTCTCATGTATCATTAACGATTTTTACTCCACTTTACTTTACTAATCAATGAACCAAACCACTACAACCAATTCACAGTACAGTACTGTATGTTGTGCTGGGTTTCTTTGATTTCTCTCTGGTATTTGTCTGACATCTGGTGGCCATGTTACAAACAACATCACGCAACAAGCTGGTTTTAACTGGTCTGGTCAACAAGAAATTATATAACATTAATTAATGCAGCTTCTCTTTACAGCATCAGAGATAAAAAAGAAAAATGAAGTGGTACAACAGATGTCCCTGTTACTGGAGAAGCACAGTTTGAATCCACAAAATGACCATTATGTCCATTAACAGCTGTTTGTCCTGTCAAAATCCGACTTGTTCTGTCCAGTTTCTCAGCTTTTACTGACTACATTAAGGATTTTATGTCCTGCAATTCTTAAACTTCACCAAAACATTTTCGCCGGCTATTGCCATGATACAAGCATTAAAAAAATATAAAGCAAATAGATTAATGATAAAGCAAAAGCTTCCAGCACCGTAAATGTTAACAGTATTGAAATAAAATTTCTCTGTAAATTGACAGGTTATTTACTGTATACTGTTTTTATTCTTCCTAATTTTGACAAGGTATAGCAAAGAACAACAGATCTTAATTTACAATATATATTGATCCACCGAAGGAGGGAACCTGAAGCCTGGAATTCTGGTTGTCACGACACAACACTCAATTCAAAATAAATGTGATAATCAGGCTCAGCAGATGCAGCAATTTGGGCTCATCTGGACCTTTAAACACCAAAGCAGCAAGTGTCGTACAAGGTACTGTATGTTGTGCAGGTTAGCATAGTTATAGATTGAATTGACATTTTCTTACAGCTGTTAACTTAATTTTCACACAAAAACATGAAATTCTGAATATCAAGTGTCAAATAACCGCAAAATTATTAGAACATGTCCTGTATGGTAAGTTTAATTAAAATGTAGGTATATTATTCTGTATACTGGAGTGCAATTGTGATTTCAACCATGATACTGTTTTAAAAGTATATGTTAAAATCATTAAAGATAAAAATTTTCGGACACAACCTGTTGCTTCTAGATACAAATTTGATTCAACAAAATCAACAAAACTGCCTGAAAATCCTGACTGCAGAGAAAGGATAGAATACAAAACAATCTAATCAGACAACTGAGAATCCATAAACGTTGTGTTTCTAACTCTTTACGATTCGTAACTTTGTGCATTGAGAGGAAAAATAACATCCTTTTTATTTCCTGCAGATTTGCCATCAAACATCGAAATGCAACATGTGACTCTCAGGCATCACCTCCTCCTCCTCCTCGTCCTCTGTCCTCTGACCTCAGTTGACCTGGAGGATGCGGATGAAGTGCCGGTGGAGGTCATTGTTGACAGCTCCCCCTGCAGCGCCACCTGTGGGCTCGGTGTGAAAACTCAAACCCTGTGTTTACTGAAAGATGGCAAGACAGCGATGGAAGAAGATGTGAAAAGGAAACATGGAGCAGAGGTATCATACAGACATCTTAAACACCACACTAAATGGTTGAGAAATGTAAGAAGGAAGTAAGCTCTGATTTTATTAAGAATAATCACCATCATCTGCATGTGAAATGGATTAATTGAAGGTGTCGAAGAAGTGTCGTGTCCATAAGGTGTCATGTCGGGAGTCGCTGCAGTGTGGACTCAGGACTATGACTGTGACTTCAGGACAGAGAGTTGAGATCGACTGTCTGGAAGAAGTCATGGAGGCGATGGGGAGGTTCTCCTGGAGGTAAGGATGTAGGAGAGAAGTGATTCTTGTCCTTTTGATTGCAAACAATGGGAAAAATGTAAATGTTGGCTCGATGTGAGTCTTATCTTGTAAAGTTAGATACCAATTGCAGAATGCAATGGAAAGTTTTGTGATGATATGTGTTTTTTTTAAAGTGTGTTTAGCCTAGTTTCCTCAGCCCAGGGCTGGATTTACCCACCAGGTTTGCCCCAAGGCAAAATTTTGCTGTGGGCCCATATTTAGCCTCCCTAATACCGAGTCCTTTCATATTCCCATAGTTTAGTAATAAGTTGACTAAATGTAAATTTATTCAAGAATATGCATTATTAAAGCATTAAAGTCACTGAATTATTAATAAAGGTATAAAAACTAGATTCTGAAACAGGAGCTCACTACAAATAGGACCTTGTTTTTGCTAACCTCCAGTGGTTTAATGTCTCACCTTGCTGTAGTGATGTACAGGTGTACTTTATGATTCTGGGACATCACTGGTGGGTGTGACCAAACCCAACCACACCTATCCATGATGCTGGCTGTGGCCAGAGGTGAAACAGGCTGGAACTGGAGCGGGCTGTGAAACACTGCTTTTCAGCCTGGTATGAAATTAGTCTTTAGGAAATTTCGGTGTATATTAATTCATCAAATAAACACAAAGTAATTGCCAGTGAACCGTGACCTTTTGAGGCCCCACAGGGGTCCAGGGCCCTGAGATAGTAGCCCACTTTGGCCAGTTGGTAATCCTGTAAATGCAACAACTTTTTATTGGGGGCAGTGTTCAGTGGAATTTTTTCTTTTACGGCTCAGAGTGTCCTGGCGTTACGCTCGAGGAATAATCAGCTCTGATGACTCTCTCTTTACTCGCTGGGATGCTCCTCTGCTGGACCGAGTGGTTCTGGACCCCGTCAGGGAGGAGGACGCAGGTAAACACACCTTTGCAGGTACTCAAACACAGTCTGAATTGTACATATGATTTAAGTTTAAAACCTGAGCTCTTAAGGGGAGGTTGGCCAGTGGGTTTTGTGAGAATTTTTGTGAGAAAGTTGTATTTGGCAACTGAACATCCAAAAAAGATAAGGTTGGAGGAACTTATGTGTATGTCAGACTCTACAGTTCCTCATTCTCAAGTAAGTAAAGACACATTTAAAAGAAAATGATGTTTAAATAAATTAGCTTTACCATAAAATGTGTTTTAAACTAGTAGCTAACTATAACAATGACAACATTTCATTTTTAGGTGACCTGTTAAACTGTTAAAATAAATCAGTCTAATAAATAAATGTAATTTAATATTTCATTATGATATCTTTGGAAGAAGTATTGAAATTTGATTAAATCTAACAGAGACATACCCGCACAATTGACACACATGCATGGTCTCTCTCTCACACACACACACACACACACACACTTGACTGCTTGTCAGTCACGTAAACCCATAATTTGAATAATGTGCCAATTAATCAGCTTTCACTTTTAGGTACTTACCGCTGTGTTGTGCAGGATGCCACCTTCCGCAGGGTGAAGAGTGTTTACTGGGGGATCCGGGTTTTACCCATTGGGATTCTCAATCTGGACTACGAAAGCTCTCTGGCCCAGTGGGACGCTACTGAAAACCAACAGAGCCAGACTGTATCTGACCAGCAAGACCACAGGATGAATCTTCTTTACAGAGTATGGTTTGGTTTAGGAAGTGATGGGTTTGGGAATGTACTGATGCACTAATATTTAATGAAACTTTAATGAAAAAAAACCCTCTTATGTAGCCACCAGATTAAAAACAAATATCACTACATAAAATTAAATTCACAGAATGTTGATTTTGGTAATGCCGAAAGAATGATCCTACTCATCAGCAGTGCATTTGTTCTGTCTGAACACGCAGATGTTGATCAGTTTGAGCCTCGCGGTCTTCGGGTTTGGACTGGTGATGCTGGGCCTCTGCTGGACAGTGAAGAGGAGAGAGCTGAGGCATCTTGACAAATGAGGCTGTTTTCTCACCACACAGACAATTTGTTCTTGTTAGAGATGAAAGGAAGTCAGAACCATCAACAAATATATGTTGTTCTCGGTTTTCAACTGAAAGAGTTTCTCATGACTTTGTTTTCTTTGCCTTAGAAAGAATTTTTTTGAAGCGGCTATAATCGATATATTTTATGATAACAATGTGTCAAATGGCAATGCAAAAACAATTTGACAGTGTGAAAGGTGTTTCTAAGAGCAGTGATGAACCAACAGAGAATTATCACCTGAATCTGTGGCTCCCCTCATCTTTACAGAGCTTTATAACAAGCCGCAGCTCATTGTTTATCTGCAGCAGAAAATGAGCAATTCACAGCTAAAGGGACAGATCTTTCCTTCAGGATATAGTAGGGACCAAAACAGAGCTAAATGAGAATGAAATTGGACTTGGATTTATCCAAATGAATGATGATGTTGCTGATGGTTGTTAAGCAAATGTTCATTAATTCATTTGCCATATGAACTTAAAAGGTGGTGATACATGAAAAATCTCCAGGAGAAACAGAGTAAAACATGAAAAATCAGGGCTTTTAACAGGAGTTTATAGTCAATCAGTCCATGAGGTGTTATCTAACTCAGTGCCAGGAGATGACAGTGTTGGTTCATAGCTGGGTTGAGTCCGAACATATTTGTTGTCATTTCCTCTATCACGACCACAATGCATGATGGGACTCAGCTGCCACATTGAAATCAACCTGATTAAGAGAGAGAAAGAGAAAAGCGCTCTCTCAAAAGGAAGATGAAGAGTTTATGCTCATTAGCCTTCACAACAAACAAAACTGTTACAGTTACAAAACAAAACTGTTGGGTGGATGAACATGTAGAGGCAGCTTTGATATTCTAAGATCCTTACCAGTAGTGCAAATAACAATATCAAAACACAAGTACTAACGTAAGTTAAAAATTAAAACGTGTGCTCTTTAAACATGTGCATGCAAAACCGCACCAATCCATAAAAACCTGCAGAACATATGGCACCTTTCTGAGGGACACATTGCTGAAACCTAGACCACAGTCCTGTAGATGATTAACTGATAAAACAACCCAACCGTGAATAAATTATTTAACTCCCTCATGCATCACTAATAATACAGTATGACTCAGCTCTGCTTAATAACTTGGCTATTTTTGCTGATATTGCTTATGCACATTTTGCTGATAGTGTGTATCTGTGTTTATTTAAATCAAATTTTGAATGCAGGTCCTTTACATTTGTTCATACTTTAAAAAAAAAAAATCTGAATCTGAAATCTGTCTAATATTAACAGATGCTGACATCATCAGAGTGGTTACAAACTCTTTTTTTATTTTCATTGTCTGTAGCAATTGTTCCATTATGTTTTTATTTTTTTTTGTTTTTTAATTTCACATTTGATACTGTTTTTTTGTCTATTAAAATCCACACACACACACACACACACACACACACACACACACACACACACACACACAAATTTACTGTTTTATTTACTTTATTTTTATGGTGATTAATGAACTGTATAAAATCAATTGTTCTTTTGTAATTTATTTGTAGCTTTGGCAATATTGTTGTTTTACATTCATGCCAATAAAGCTAGATTGAATTGAACTCAGAAAAAGGAGAAAATGACAGCTTGAGGTGGATGTCCTTCTGTCTGATGAGCCTGTTTATTTGTTTGTTATTCTGGGAGGAGCAGAGCCAAATGAGAGAGTCTAGGGAAATAACACAAATGCAATTATGATTACTGTAATTCATTCATTTCCTCGTGGATCTTGCTGCTAAACCCAGAAGAACGTCATTTCCCTCCATGTGCTTATTTACAACATCAATTTGACAGATGTTAACTGTTTTGCCAGCGCTCACTGCACAAACAATTTAATTACAGCCCCACTGTAGCATCATAGGACACATTATACTCTACACTAATGTTGCTATTGAATCAATATATGGGTGATATCTAAAGCCCCTCCAAAAAAGAGCTCAGATGTTAAATGTTTATAGAGACCACGTTAAGCCCTGAAGAGATAAGATCAGCAAACATTCTTGTTGTTCTCAGTTGTCTTCAGCTTTACCCATCCACAATTGTGACTGAGAGCATATTTTGCAAATCTATACAAAGACATGACAATAAATCAAATGAATTCAGTGACCAACGTATTGTAAATGAAAATCTCCAAGTATTAGAAGAAACAATTAAAAACAACCAAAAGCCCCTTCATTTCCCAATTACTTGGGAAGAATTGGTCACACAAACAAAATCTCTCTGGCCAAGAAAGCTTGTGGTCCAGACAACATTAAAAAGAAAATGCTCAAATCCAGCACCCCAGACATAGCGACAGCATGTTTTTCCTGAAATGTGGTGCAAATGGCTAATTTTCCCAATTCATAACCGTGGAAACAAATCAGACCCTAGGAACTACCGTGACATCTGTGTCAGTAGTTGTATAGGTAAATTATTTTATTAAAAGAACAATAGATTTGATTCTATTACAGCCTTCTACACTGTGTTGTAAGGGGCCTTGGTATAACCATAACAGCATCAGGGAGTTTCAACATGGCAGTGAAAACACAAGAAAAAGTGCCAAGAGCTCTAAATGCAATTAAAGAGAAAATGTTAGAATTTACAACTAAAATCTTGCTTAAAATATTTGATAGTGTCATTCAGCCTATTGCGTTGTATGGTAGTGAAGTATGGGGTACACTCGGTCATAGCGATACCCCTTGGTACAAACAAAATCTTAACATGCAGAATTCTGCAGATACATTTTACACCAAAACCAACAAATGCATGTAGAGCAGAATTAGGCAGATATCCACTCATAATTAACATTCAATACAGAGCAGTCACATGTTTTAATCCCTTAATGTTTTTAAACCCTCCATTCCAAAGCCCTCCCAACCCAAGAACCGAGCCCAGGAAAGAGTCTGCTGGTGCTGAGACTGACTGCCCCCTCTCTGACACACTCTAGCCAGTCTCACAACAACAAAGCAACCTATTTCCAGTGACGTCACTAAGAATGAAAGAGTATGTGTAACTTGCGCTCACATCTTTTGTTACTGTATTAGAACAACACTTATTTGAACAACCAGTGAAGAAGCCAAGATGTACAAGTAAAAAGTTGAACAAAAGTTACTTTGATGTTAGCTTTTAGACACACTATATGGGGGGAATTCACTAAGGCCAGACTGAGTTCTTCTATAGGCTGTGACTTAAATGCTGTCCGCCAGCTCATGTAAATGTGTGATAAAGCAATCCCATATTAATTCCTCTATCTAGGCTATTAGATAAGTTGCAGGTCCAAAGAATGCTAATTAATTAGGCTACACTAAAGCTGATGATACACAGAGCAACTTTTAGAGCAATCGTGCAGGGCAACGTTACCGTCAATGGTAATGAGTAAAGATTATTACGGTAATCCCCTTCCCCTACCACTCCGCCACCCGCCCCGCACCGCCACTATCAGTTGAAAACATAGTCAGACTTGCCACTAGCAAGATTGCCCAGCAACATTGCTCAAAAAGTTGCCCTGTGTATCATCAGCTTAATTATTGTTACAGCACTGTATATTGGTTCAATCAGAGTGTGATTTTGCTCTGTAGTTTGGTTGCATGCAAGCTGTTGATAAGGATCCTATTTAAAGTGGCTACTGTCTGATGGTGGAAGGAATAAAAGATTTAGATTAATCATTACAATATGTATTGATTCATGTATGTATAATTGATTTTAATATATTTTCCTATGTGAATCTGTGGGCATATGCTCATGTATGGCCTAACCATTTAGGCAACATCTACATATGTATTTAATTTATTACAGCCAATCAATGCAGAAGGTTATGTGGGTCAGAATATAGCAAATATAATAAATATCTTGAAATAATTTAGTTTAGGCTATGCCTTGGTGCCTAGACCTGCCAACAAAATGCCGATTTCTAGAAGAAAACGAAACAGCCCACATTTCCTTACACCTGTAGACCACCACTGACCTGCAGACCAGCTAACCTCAGAATCAGCTGCCCTGCCAATCTGCTGTTTCTCTCTCTCCTAAAATATCTTCAATATGCATCTGGTCAATGAATGGAAAGATATACCGGTGCAACAGCATTAACATTTGACATTTAATTTTCACTGAAAACCACATTCTATGGGGACATATTGTTTTAAAATAGGCTACTAGAGATTGGTAATATTAATGGTTCACACTACCGACACTAGTGTTTTCCAAAGCCAAACAAAATATCTCCTCTCCTTTACCTCATGTAAACATAGTTAAAGCTCACCAAGTTACAGTCACTAACGACAACTCACAGTTTCACTCTGTATCACTCATTACGCTGAATCAATCTTCCTTCACCATGTTTGTGTGTTGCTGTGTGTGTAGTAAAATTGCTCGACAGCTGGGCGGAGCAGCGGTAAAGTGCAGCCTCCCTCCTGGTCCCAGGGAAGCAGAGGAAACAACCTGAACGACTATTTTAAGCCAATAAATACAAATTCTGTTCTTATTATACTATAGTACTTATCAATGTTGTTGCTTCTCTTTGTTGAGTACATGTCTGCACTGTAAAAAATATATAAATATAATAATTAATATTATTTATACATTTATTAATAATATTTTTCTAACTATTATTTGGGGGGGCTTAGGACCATGTTAGGGTAGCTTCAGCCCCCTAAAATGGGCCTAACAAACATTGGAAAGAAGAAACTAAAAGCCAGAGTAGATTAGTTGTTGGCATGTGGCCTTAAGAAGAGGTTATGAATTGGCAGATCTTTCTCTCTCTCCACTGTCAAAAATATAAAACAAAGACAGAGTCTAATCAAGTACAGGCTCAGTGACCACAAAACTAAAAAGGAAGACACAAAAAAACCATGGTACTATTCAACAGCTGAGACTGAGACAGAGATGCACTTCCTACTACAATGTAAAACATTCAATTACATGAGGAACATTTACTCTAACAAGTTCAACTGTAATCTCAGATTTCAAAGCG